ATACCCCAACATGTAACACAAAAAGGGTAATGAAACTTCTCATACCAAATAAAAAGAATACAAAACATTTGGAGCAATATTTTTCCTCTGGTTCTTCAACGTATATTTCAACTACAGATCTACAATTACAAATCTCGTTATTCATCGATTGGGTTCTTATACAATCATTCTATCTATCTTGCCGAAGGCCCGAACCCTGACGTCTCGTGCGGCGAGCTCCTCCCACGCCCACCTTCTGGAGCCTTTCTGACCGTTCTTGGGCATACGCGTGCTGGACAAGGCTTGCACGTGCACGAGTGAGCCCGGCATCTGTTGGCGACATTTTTTGGGGTCAACAATAGTACTCTTCTCAAAAGAAATAAAAAAATAACTTGTATAGCTTGGGTAGAATTTTCTTGGGAGATTTTCAAAAATGTCACTAAATTTGAAAATGGACAAAAAAATTTCATGTGCACTAAATTTGTTCAAAAATGTCACTTTTTTGTTGTCAAATGTCCAAACTACCCTTAATGTGACATTTGTAAGATCAATTAATGCTTGATTGGAATACCATTAATTGTTTGATGTGATGATTATATTTTGATTATTTTATTCATTTTATATAGTATATTTAGTGGAAAAAAACATATTTTCTTCCAAAAAATACATAAAAGAAATTCAAAACCTATTATTGTTCCCAAACCCTAAGTCCTACATCCTCCTTCATTAACACATACTTTCTTCCAAGAACTTCATCATCTTCATTCATTCTTCAAGAACATATGAGTATTTCATTGATCATCCATTTGAAGAGGTTAGCTATTACAAATTGTTTGTAATTTCATCTCTTAACTCATTATTTCGTAAATGTTAAATAAAATATGGTGATATTTAATGGAGTATTGACATTTATTTTGAAAAGACATTGTGTTGTTGAATGAGAATTGATTATCACCATTAATGTTCTACATTAATGTCCTCCTAAAAATTTCTACAGTAACTGTTTTAAAGTGTACAGTAACAGTTCGTCATTCAACTGGTCGAATATAGTGTTCCAACCGTCGAGCCCCGACAGTTAAACTGCCGAGTTCGACAGTTTACAAACTGTCGGGATACACACTTCAACTGTCGACTTCGACATTTGAAAACTGTTGAAAATCTTGATTAGTAGCTTTCCACATTTGATAGTATTCAATGTACATTTATTTGATTGTGCAGACTTCTTACAGTTGAAATCCCAACATTTCAGGTATGAATGATGATTTGAGATTTATCGTCTCTTACGGGAGAAATTTCATTTATGTGGACGACGAATGGAAGTGGAGAGGGAACAAAACCACTTCCATTTTAGTGCCGACAAATATTACGGTAGCTGGACTGACTTTACGGTTGAAGGAAAAACTCGGTATTGTTGATCCCCGCAGTGAAATTGAAATGAAGTTCAGAGTCTCGAACTTGAATATACCTCCGGCTGAAATTCGCGAAGACGAAGACCTCAGTTGGTACATATCGGTTCATAAGGAAACTGCTATCTGCGTTACTGTTTTAGAAGCCGAGCCCCCAAGTTTTGGCATGGCAATGACTACGGCGCTGCACTCGTTGTGGCAGATTTGGTCATAATCGAACCACATGCATGAACACCAATGTAACGCAACCCAGTTAACATTTTCATATATAATAATATTGTTTTTTCTGTTAATGTACTGACCACCTACCAAATGTAATTACGTTGTTTTGTCTTTTAATGTACTGAGGAATTAACATATTTACGTTATTTTGTCTGTTAATATACTGGCCACCTAACCATTTCAGTGGCATCCTCTCATCATATATGTGCATTTTAGTTTCATTATTGCTCTAACGTATAGCATGTGATCATCTGTTTCCTTATTTTGAATTATGGTTGTCCGTACTGAAACCGACATGACATACATAGTTTGCAGCACATCCCGACACTTAATCTGTCGATCCCGACAGACGTTCTCTGTATTTCTCAACAGTTTGAACAAGACATCAATTTTTCACGAGGCAAACACAGTGCAGAAGGGATATTGTTGCTCTCGGATTTGATTAATGATCATTACTAAATATACACAAAATACTTGGATAAATGTAATATTAACATAAATAAGGGCTCCACGAAGAAAACGTACAAAATTCGAGACCGTTGTTTAAGATGTATTGTAACACATCCTACCACAAAATTTAATGTGCTATTAACCAGGATCAACATTACAAAACAATCTTGAACTCAAATTCGTGAAGAATGAAATTAAATGAAACGTCCACAAAACCAGAAAATCTAAGTCACATTACATAGACGTTCACAAAACTATTTGGTAGTCGTGGCGTTGTCATTCGTCAAAGTGCTCAAACACCTTTTGCACGTACTTGAGATTACTTCGCTAGGATATACGTGCACGCAACCTTGAATCTTCCGGAACCAAGAATTCGAACTCCATGAACTCTGCAATGAATAAGAAGGCGAAAAAGGGTCAGCTAATCACAGTCATCAATGTCGAAGCCAATACACATGGATGCAAACAAATAGCAATCAACATATGTACGTCAACCATATAACGACGTGAAACTACTGACCCAATGCAACATGAACAATCTGTAAAAGGACATGTGACGAAGATGTAACGAGAAATGGAACATATGTGCTTCACATTATTTCATAAGGCAGTCATCTGTCGAGAATTACTGCATCTAACTGTCGGGTTCGACAGTTGACCTGTACCAAATTTACTCAACTGTCGAGAATCTGAGGCTAACTGTCGGGAACGGCAGTTTGCCTATCCGTATTTTACCCATCGACTGCAGCTAACTGTCGGGAACGACAGAACACATGATCACAAGTCACTCATATGCAGATAATTTGTTGAGGTAAACCATTGCACACGAAGTGGTGACACATACTAAGATGGTAGAAGGTTCACAAGCTGGTGGCATTTACATTCAAAAACCCCCCAATTTAAAATCTAAGATCTCTTGAAGCAACAGAACAATTAAGCTATAAACAAAATCTCGAAATGAATGAAATCACATTTTTGAATAATTTCAATTAAGCTATGTATGGGTGAACAACCAACAACATTCAGAAATTCCTTAAAATTTGGGGAAAAAAAAAGTAGGTCAAACAATTCTTTATAAATCTATATTACCAATCAACAATTCTGCAAACCAATACCTCAAGCAAGTTGGATCATCATGAACCGCAAGAACACACATACCCATTGGAAAATTGTCATAATTTTCGTTCTCACACCCACTTTTTCCTCTAATTTCCTCCACAACCATTTTCCCCAATAACTCAAAAAACCCAGATGCAAAAATTGATATAGAGAGAGCCAAAGATTCAGAAAATTACACAAAATCACCAAAATCATTACTTCACAATAAACCCAAATGCAAATGAAAGAATGCATATCACAAAATTTCAGGAAGTTAGGGAAAAAATGTCAAAGCATTGACTTACACAATCAACCTTTTTCCGGCGAGTCGATTGAGTGAGGAGTGAGTGGACAGTCGGTTTCTTCTTCATTGGGCGGTGGAGTTCTCTCTTCATCTTTCTCTCTCTGTCTCTCGCTTTGGCCGGTGGTGGGTGGTGGAGGTTGTCTTCATCTTTCTCGTTCTCTTTCTATGGCCAAAGGAGAGTTGTGAAAGATTAAACAATTAAAATGATTTCCCCCTTTCTTTTTCCTTGTTTTGACCTTTTGGTTATGACAAATTGTACAAGTAGTCAAATCTCAATCAATGCAAGACATGTAAGGTATTTAAATTATGCAAAGGGGTAAAAATGTCCAATTGTGACATTCTTGCAACTAGTTTAAAAATGTGACATTTTGGTAATTACATTATGACAAAATGACATTTGGTGTAATTTCCTCAATTTTCTTTTGAAAAAGTAATTTCAACATTTTATTTCAACCAAGTAATTTGGATAGAATTTTTGAAGAGATGTGATTTAAAAATCAAATTAGTACTGTAATTGATTTGGTATGTCGAATTCTAGAATGAGAGGTTCGTTTATACAGAATTTCAAACGTCTCTTGAGAATGGATGCGCCTTAGGCTTCTCAATTCATCGCGATGGAAATAAGTTTGGAAAAATGAATTTTAAAAAACGATAACCAAACAGGGGCTAAATAATCCAAATTGGTGCTTGACCTAATAATGGACCCAATTAGTTACAACAAGAATAGCTTGGCTGTCAGTGTATTTACACGCTTTCAATGCTCTATTAATGTTCCAGTAAGTTAGGCGAGAACGGGGACGGAGTGAGCCAGGGAGGATTTTGAATAGAAGATCATGATCACAAAAAATTTCATGGAGAGAACGAATTTAAATCATTCGATATGCAAAGTCTAGTAGACATTATATTGGGATCGTTTGGCATAGCTTTTGTTTCTAATTTTGTAAAAGAATTTTTGAAGGAAGCTATCTTAATTCTTGTTCCTATTTCGAAAGTATTTTTAGAGGAAATCACGTTGAACCAACTTCTTCTAAAAACTCTTAGAATAAGGCCCTGTTCGGGAGGGATTAAAAGCCAATTAAAATTGAAAATATGGCCGTTATTGGACCCCACTCGTCTAATAAAAGTCAACAATAACGACTATATTTTCAATTTTAATCTGATTTTAATCCCTCCCACACAAGCCCTAAGCACTTTTATAAAATTAAGTAAATGGGTCCAAAAGTAACTTTTGGATCTCAAAAGTTCCTTTTGATTTTTCAAAAATAATGTCAAACAGGCCAATAGTAGCAAAGCATAAAAGAACTCGATAATCGAAATTTCTACATATAATATATTCCTCAAACACTCCACGAGGAGACCGGAAGGGAACGATACAGGCGTCTTTAAGTTGACCGCTGTGAGCTAGTATGCGTTCATATTATGAAAATATAAGCGAGAAAACAAAACAATTACTATTAATTTTGTTGTGTCAACTGGCCGCCTTGTGAATTCATCATGCAGATAACATAAATACTTGAACTGATATCCCATCAAAATCCTTTCTAGCATGGCTTCAACTCGGTAGATGTCGGCAAGGGGCGAAAGCCATGTTTGAGACTGGCTTGCCAAATTTTGTCAATGCTGAACATCACATTACCACACTCATGGACATTCCAGTCTTCTAAAGCATGCAGTATCCCGGCTACACGCCATGCGCTCATCACCCTTCTTGGTAACCAGTTCTGTCGTGTGCAATAACGAAAGAAAGTTTTCTCAAAAATTAGTGTCGACCGTCTCATTTAAAAGGCAAAACTGTTAAAAGGAGAGAAAGCTTGATTTCTAACCTCACAAGAGTCTACATTCTCAAGATTCTTGGGAATCAAAATTGCTGGTGTGTTATGGTAAAAGCAGTCTTTACGCAGTTTTTTCGGAGGAAATTGTGAAAACGGAATGAATACTGCACCTTTTGATGCCTTCATTTGTTCATTTTCACTTAATCCATCTCCCACCAGCCATGTCTGCAAAAATGACATTGTAAATTAATTATGTATAATTTTATAACCACAAAAGGGAAACAAACTAAAAAAAAAAAAAAAAGGATTTATCACCTTTGGAGCATTTCCTTCGCAGAGGACCAAATTATTTCCAGCCTCATTGCTGAGCCTTGATTTTAGCTTCTTATACTCATCCTCTCGTAACATATTTACCTACAATTTACACAAGTTAAATAAGAAAGCCAAAGGAAAGGACAAAAGGCTTGATTGATTCGCATGATAGTCTGGGTTGCGTCTCAGTACCAGTGTGAGTGATCATCCTCTCGAACCAACTTCTCGCAGGTTTAAGCTATGTAATGTATTGGTGTGGCTATGCATTCGTGTGTAGTTATATTTGTCTCTAAAACTCGAGTGTGATTAAGACAATATGTTTATAAACACTTCAAATACCTAGCTAAATTCAATTTTACCATGTGATTTTGTATCGATTTTTCTAGGACTTTATATAATTATTATTGTACATAGGGGTGTCCATAACCCTCACATGGGGTGGAGCCCACATTTTTGTGGACCCCACCCCATGTGAGGGTTATGTATACTTCTATGTACACTTAGCATTTTTCATTTTTCTACGTGTTATAGAAACGAGTAATGTAAGAAATAAAGGAACTATCGAAATAGGGCTAAAACCGCATATATTGCAAGCAATTGGACTGTGGTGGAGGATATTCAGGTGCACAAGAAATTAACCATTTGTGACATCTGTCGTACTAGAGTGGACATACTTAGACAAGACAACCGACAATTTATGTTTCACAAGTTTCTCTTCCTTAAATTATCTCGAGTACTAATCGAGTCACGCTAACCAAACCTGCCTAAATTTCATCAGTTAGTAGGGCATGATTTTATCGTGATTAAATGTACCTTGATCCCCTGTTGGCATAATGCACGAGCAATGGCATAGGCAACCTTGGACAATTTGCCTCTTAGAACCACTCCATCTGTTCCTTTAGGAATGCTATTTAAAACGACAGCAACTGCCAAACTACTCCCATCTACCAACTTCACTTTTAATGAAGGGTACTTTCTTATGTAAATTTCACCATTTCTATTCAACTCCTCTTCCTGCACATCGAGATAAACACAAGATAAACTCTCATAAAATGTGCTTGAAACCCCTTTTTTCCCCTCGAACCGAAGGATCTATCACTTTCACGTCATAAACGCCGAATATTAAAGAAAAGGACTCATTGTTTTGCTCGTTCATAAATAAATAAGCACTTTTAAGGAGATTTTTAGTATGTTTTCCGAAACTTAAAAAGTTAACTTATAAGTTACTTTTGAAAGCACCTCTCAAATTAAGTAATATTTTTACTTATAAATAGGAAAAAAAATGATAAGAATAGAGTTGACAGTAGAAAAACAACTTGCCTGATTCAATAGGCCAAGGCTCAAAACCTTAGTGCCTTTCACTTCAGCTTCAAGTATAGCCTCCTCAATCAGATTATTGATGGACTCTCTTTGCCATTGCAAGCAGTACTATAAACAAAGTAAGATTATAAATTAACGACGAATAAAAACCCATAAAGAAAACGCTACAAATAAATTCTTACTTGTATTTTGTATTTCGGGATAGCCCAAGTTTGCAACTTGAGACGCTCGAAGACATTTCTCTCGACCGTAAAAGTTCGACCGTAAATCCAAGTTACCATCATGGACCAAAGTGTGACAGGCCACATTAACCGCAAGTACCACGTAGACTTTTGAGGCTTAGAAGCTAAGGCTGCAAACCCTAAACGTAAATGGTATATGGATTCTGGGGTTGTCAAGTGTGTAAGATAAATTACATCTGGCGATTCCTCCTTTCTCTGCACTGATTTTTCATACAATGAGTCCGTCGAACTGTCCATTGTACAGTATATGTAATCGTAGAATGGCATGAAAAGTGAGTAATTGGTCCGAAACTGTGTGTGATGCAGTGAGTGGAACCTGTTGCACCAAATTTGAACTTAGTTAAGCTTAAAAAGTTACTTATAAGTAAATGAGTAAGTTTATTATTGGTCCAATCGAATCTAACGTAGTAAAAATACATCTAATTTGCAAGTGTTTCATAAGATGTTCTTAGTTTTTCACTAAGGTACGAAATAATTGAGAACAATGAGTCACTATCGTGGTCCATGACTTAGGGCTGGCACCATTGTCAACAAAAATGAACTTAATAAATTCCACATGAGGTGGAACCACCCTTGGACCACCTTATCATTTGAATCTTTGTGTTATGAAGCATCAAAATCCATGATAAATTTGACAATAATAGTACTTTAGGCACGTTTTATTGAATAATCACATAGTCTAAAACACTAAAATACTATTACGAAAAAAGCGAAAGAAGTCGAGGTAATCAAAAATACTTACGATGGTGTGTACATGAGATACTTGAGAGGGGGAAATATGGAGAAAAGCCAATTGGGGATGAGCTCAAAATTGCAATGGCCTAAGTTGTTCATGACATCAACGACAATGATATAGCCAGCTGAGGAAACAATAGAGATGATCCCCAAACGTATAGTAATAAGAATTGGTGTTGCAAACAAAGCAAAGTATGCTATGTGTTCCGCGAATGGATGGATGACAGCTGTCGGAACATGAAAAAATTTGGGTTAATTGAGTTACATAGTCGAAAGATGTGGTTAATATTGAAAATATCGAAATTTATTAGTGATTTTCGAAGATTTATGTAATGTTAATGTTCAGTCCCCTACGTTGCACTAGATAAAATTTTGACGAAATTAAAGAAGAAAATCATGTGAAACAGTTAGGGATGGACATAATACGATTCAGTATAGTTCCATTTAGAATTGCACCTATCCAAAATTAATTAAATTAAAAATAAAATCGAATTAAACCAAAACTATTATTTCGATCCGATTAGAGTAACGCCCATATATATATTGTACAGTCAATTTTGGCACATTAAGCCCCTGTTTGAGTTCCATTTCGGAAAGAAATGTATCGTGGAATAGTGATTTTTTTTGAAAATGTAGGATTAAAAAATACAAAAAAAAAAAAATTGGTTTACATGTAAAATTATTTCATGGAAGAATGTGTGGTTGAAAATGAATTTTGAAAAAAATGAGGTTATCATAACCTGACACAAGATGGTGACATTTCGCTTTCAAAATTTATGGCTTTAATGTGGCTTCAGTTTAATTTGGTGAATTTTAAGGTGGGGTTGGGGAAATGGGGGTTCATATTTATTACATTATTACAAAATATGGATAAAATTTAATAAATCGTACATGTAATTGGCTCGGTGACGATGGACGAGTGATGGTGGGAGTGGTAGCGGGAGTAGAGGAAGTGGTGGTGCAGCGCTCGGTGCAACCAGTAGTAGAGGAACTCAATTAGAGTAGCATGAAGCAAAATTGTTATCACCACCCCGTCTGTCCTCCATATGGGCACATTATCAGCCCCCTTGAGGTATATTGAACCCAAATAGAATAAAATCCCAGTAAATATTATCTGGTCATCCCTGCAAATACACATGAAGTTATACGTTGTTCGAAAATAAATAGAAAGGGGTTTAGCATTTTCGGTGCTTAAAGTTTTAGAAGTTTCCGTTTTTGTCCCGTGAAATAGCAATTTCATCGTTGTTGTCCTGCTAGTTCAAAACCTATTTAAGGGTCCATTCGATGAGATTTTTGAAAAGTCAAAATCTATTTAAGGGTCCCGTCAGGTTTTAGAGTGTATTTGATTGATATTATTGAGAAAATAATGTATTTTAAATAGTGATATGATGAGAAATATGTGGTTAAAAAATAAAGAAAGGTTATTGATGTAATGAAAAATATTATTTTATTAAAGAATGTATGGTTAAAAATGAATTTTGAAAGAACGTGTATCAAACAGGGCTAAAAAATTGCTTTGAAACATATTTGAATAATTTTCTGAAAATATTTTTTCCAGATTATAAGAGTGTTTAAAAAAGTTGCCTTAAGGTAATTTCACGTGAAGCTCTTCTTTAAAAGGTAGAAGCAAATCTTAGGAGTCGAAAGTTAAGACAAAAACACGTGATTTTCGGTAATGGACTATGTCCAAGATTGAATGGAAATTCGTGATTTGGACTAATCGACATTGAAAAACGTCAAATTAAGAGATTCTTGAAAACTCGTAGACTAGGGAAACAATTATTCACAAACAAAAATATAGTTGACCATCTATATCGACAGGTTTAAAGTTTTAAATGAGGCAGTTTAACGTGATAGCAAAGCAAAGGGCCTCATTAAATTTTGTCATCGTTCCTTCATGAACTAAATATATATAAATAACTTGTACAATCTCCAATATCAAGTGTTTGATCCGAAAACCCCATAAAATATTTTCTGAATATCTACAAAAATAATGAAAGATGAGGGTGGGGGTGGGGGTGGTTCTCACCAGCTCCTTTCTCTGTCAACTTGTTCAAATTCAATACTCTTATCAACAATCCTGTTGCTCCCTTTTGCAGTTCGATATCGGGAGAGTGATATCCATATCTGGTTGAGTAACATTCTTGAGACTAAAAAAGGTAAAATCAAGAATTGAGAGAGAGATCTCTCACTTGCATCCTTTATCATATACAGATACGTTGCACGAATTATTAATGGACTCAAAACCAGATACTGCATTCACAAAGCACAATGAGATCAGTGTTAGGAATGAGATGGGGTGGGGTACAAGGGGCAATGAAGAAAGTATAATACCTTGAAGCTCCCAAGTCTTGTCCACGGCCATTCAGTGAGAATCCCAGGATTGGAAGCCATGGCTACTCTTTGATCTTCACTCCTACAACTTGTGAATGTGATGAGGAGCTAACTACACACATATATATAGGAATTAGGAAGAGATATGTGTCCACTAGAGGAATGTTTGGCAACGAATATTCTGAAATTTTGATTTATCATAGTTCTTAGTACCATCCTATACTGCATAGCAAGCGCGTTTATTTATTTATTGTGGGTTAAAGGTTTATTTTTTTTCAAAATGACCATTGAACTCTTATTTCTATTTCACTCCAAGCACTTCTAGGCTCTAGCCCGTTTGATATGACTTTTGAGTCAATAGTTACTTCTAAAAATTAAGGTCATGTTTTTTCTGGATTAAAATCGGATTTTAATTTAGAACAAAGTCAAACAATCAATATTAACCACATATTTCATGTGTCCTGCAACTTTTCAACCACATATTTCAAAACATTCTATCACAATCTACTAAAAATCTAATTTTAATCATCACCAAACACCCTCTAAGAAACTATCTATGATTCTATATAAATAGTTTTGTGAAAGTGATTAGTCTTATAGAAGAGTTTTTAAGCCCTTGTTTGGGCCACATTATTTTTTTCATTCTCATTCTTCTACTTATTTTAACCACACATTTTTCAATAAAATAATATTTTCCATCACATCAATAATTTTTCCTTCTTTTTCAACCACATATTATCCATCACATCACTTCAAAAAAATGCATTCTCACATTTTAATGTGTACCAAATATTTTTTCATTCTCATTCTTCTACTCATTTTCAACCACACAATTTTCAATAAAATAATATTTTCAATCACATGAATAACTTTTCATTCTTTTTCAACCACATATTCTCCATCACATCACTTCAAAAAAATGCATTCTCACATTTTAATGTGTACCAAACAGGCTCTAAATGAAACTGATCCAAGGAAATTTTATCGAGAAACTCTTCTACTACTACTTCACATATTTTGACATGTAACAAGAAAAGATATTTGTTTGCTCGGTTGAACTGATTATTAATGTTGACGAAACTACTTTAGAATAATCGGCTTTTCGACTCAATTCATGGAATTACTTACTACGCTTGGACTAGCGTTTAATGACTTGCTCCCAATTCACGTTCAAGAAACCTTGGAGAGAAGGTACTTTGTGCTTAAATGCTCGGTTGGCACTTTTCGTAGGTGCATTTATTTTTGTTTCCGATCAATAACATTGGGTAGTTGAATATTAGCTCAAGTAGAATGACATTCCATGTGCTACATACGGTACGGATAGTCTTGTCTCAATTTTCTGCCTAACTTTAGCAAGAAAGTCTTAATGAATTTAAGCCATTGCAAAAGGTGCCTATGCGATAGTTCAGGGTTTTATGCTACGCGTTTAGAGTCTCTACGTTGTTTGTCCCTCATTTTTAAAACAATATTTTTGCTCAAACTCATTTTCAGTTACATATTTTATGAAATTTATAATTTTTATCAACTTTGTAATTATATATTTCATCAATTTTTATCGAATCTACTAAAAATGTGATTTTCATCTGAACCAAACTTTGAACTAAATATTTGATAGATAATTAGGTATGAAGGTGTGATCTAGATAATAGAGAGTTAATTTTTTCTTTTTACATCCGAAAATTTATATGGAATATGACTTTTTCGGATGTAAAATTTCGAAAAATTTTGACGTCATATTCCATATAAAATTTCATAATAAATTGATGAAAATTACGTTGAGAAATTTGTATCGTAAAAATTATAAATATTAATGAAATAATTGAAATTTTTTAAAAAATGCGAGTTAAACATTTTTTTTAAGACTCACGTTTAAAGTATTTTTGATATCTGTTTAGACTATTCGATATAATCCCATAATGTAGTTCTCGAAATAAGGTTTGAGATGACATAAGGAATTTATAGATTTGATTAGTGTACGATCGTTGGAGAATTTTTAAAATTAGCATGTTATCGAAATTCAAATTTATTGTGATTTTGTCCATGTTTGGTGGAGATTAAAATCAAATTTTTAGTAAATTTTGATAAAAGTTAAACAGTCATGGATTCCATGAAATATGTTATTAAAATTAATTGTTAACTTTAATTTAGATTAAAATTTAGATTTCAATCGATACCAAACACGATTTTATAAATAATAATAATAATAATAATCTCAAAAGTCCCCCTAGGTCCGCCCATGACTACAATTCTGCTCAAACTTCTAGTGATGTGCAAAAATGGAGTACACGAAGTGTTTTCCTTGTTTAGGCATATTTTTCGTAGAGAGGTTAATATTAGCAGAAGTTGTCGAGATACTACTATGAAAACTAGTTGAACGTTGATTGGAAAGGAAAAGTGATATGGGGTATTGTCATCGCTTTGCTCAAAAGATATAGCTCGTGGCATTAATGTAATTCAACTTATATCGTCCAGATTCAAGGCCACGAATTCACCTCGAGCCTACTCCCTCCAAGTTCACTCTTGATTCAAATATGCTCCAGCGTCATCCATAACGTCAATATTTCATAATCAAATTGAACAGGATGTTAGAATCCAATTTCAACCATTTAATTTGAAAATCAATTATTGTCAAGTGAGAACGTACTAAACTATATACGTCATTCGATCACCGTCATTTTAGTGTTCCAATCTATAAGTTTAAGAGCGACCTTATTGCGCCCAACAATCACTCCATCAACATGTCGCTCTTGTAACTCGAACTCATAACCATAATTGCATGCATTCGATCACCATCATTTGAGTGATCTACTATCAAATTAAAAATTGTGGTACCATTCCCACTATCAAATTAAATATCGATGATTATCGAATAATATAATCTGATTTGAATAATACACACAATCTATACAGATCTTGGCATCTTGCCATGTACAAATCTATACACACAATCCATATCCGTATTTTACGCATAGGATTCGTTCTGTCCTTATTTCATTTCCATCCAAAATTGAGTTTGAAGATCTAAGACCGCAAGTTGATAGCGTTGTCAGACGGATTAAAACACACGTATACAAAGTTATGTTTTCTTTGTATCCGTATGATTTAATTTATCTTGAGTCTTTGGCTCAAGGTCGTTAGATCATAGTCGTTTGTACTATTTCTCATTTGTTTGTCCGGGTTTGCCCGGTGTATTTGTATTGTACTTGATATTTGATTGTCCGGGTATACTCGGTGTACTTATATTTGTACTTGATCTTGGTTTGTTCAGATATGCTCGGTGTACTTGTACATAATTTTAATCTGTAATATTCACATTTACCGATTAAAAAAAAATTGTGTTTGGATTTCACTACTTATCAATCTTTTCCACACTTGTTTTTCAATGCAGGCGGGTCCAACTTTCTTTCAATATGGACAGGACACTGCATATTGTTTGATATATGTCTATTTTTTGTTAAAAATCGAAACATACGATTAAGGACATAAATAGTAAGTTTATAAATAGGGATAAATGGGAGATGAAAATGTGAATAGTAGTTGTATGGATAAAAAATAATTTGATCAAAAGTGTTTTTTGACCGAAAAATTTATAAGCGCCAAACGTAAGCTAAAATATATTTACGCAAAATACTGGATATATTTTAACTATTTTTACGAATAAAAAAAAATTGAATTTTTTTAAAAATTTTACATTGTTGAGCTCAGCCTGGCTAACTTTATTGTCACTTAAAAGTAAAGAAGATATACGCACTTTGAATTGATTCGATCTCCAATCCTTGCTCTTTTAGATTGTTTTGTCTTTACGAATGAACCGATCAAGCTATGAAAGACATTGACCATAGCGGAAGAGATCATTGAATTCAGCCTTGATATTTTCTCCCCAAGCACATGAATGTATCCAACTTTTCTAACACGCCTTCAATTTTTCTAACCTATTTCAGTTGCACCTATTTATTAAATGACGTGACAGGTGTTTCATGGATGTAATTGAAAATTTCATCATAATTTATAGGACCATTTTGAAATTTTGCATTTGCTCAGTTTTCGCCACTGCCACAGCTAGTATATCATGCTCGGTACAAATTATTTAAAATTTATTTTCAATTACACATATAAAAAAAAAATTCATTATTTAATTACTCATTCTTCGAAAACCACTTTTCACAAAATTTATTCTCAAAAAATCTATATCAAATAGGCCGTGCATGTTGATTTATTTTGTGAAAGGACGAGAGAACAAGTATGATTAGTCTAACAACCAAGAAACCTAAACATTCAGACCATAAACAGAAACATAAAAGTGCAAGAATAAAGAAATCAACACAAGGATTTTTTCGGCCGTAGCCCCAGAGGTTCGGCGACCGCTTCTAACGCCTAATCCCCTGTTGAGCATCCATTATAAATGGATAAAGCTCTTGTTACACTATAAAGCCAAAA